CACAGGCAAGGGGGGGGGGCTACTGAAAGGCATTCATATTACACAGGCAAGGGGGGGGGGCTACTGAAAGGCATTCATATTACACAGGCAAGGGGGGAGGTGCGCACATGCCTGTTTATCTGACGTTTGTCAGGAAAACTGGAGAAAACAGAAACATGCAACTATAGACAGCTTCCAGGGGGGTGGAATGCGACCCCCCCCCCTCCAACAAGGCCATGTGATCTGAGGCCATTACAGTTGGGTCTGATTTTAAAGCAGAATGCGTGGGGTGGTGGCAGCAGCATTGATCAGGACCATAGTGGTACACAGATCCTTAACGCTGCCCACCGCTGCTCAGAAACTAGGTTTTGAAACACTGGAGGTGTAAATAAATTCAAAAATACACAAAAGAGGCTAGAAGGACATGGGCTGGTCATCCATCATGTAAGCCATTACCAGAAAAACACCGGCCCTTGGTACCACACGGTCAGCCTGAGACGATAAAAATTCAGCTCTGCGCTTCGATCTGTTACGTCTGACACGTGGCTGCACTCTGTTTTTGAATTATAAACAGATTTATTTAAACTTTGCCCACGCGCCTACAGCATGTACAGATACTGGAAAACTCTGGGATCAGGAAGAGCGCACACTTCAGAGCTCAGAAAGAAGCAGGTTAGCTGGGTTAGCGAGACGAGAAGCACAGAATCGAGGAACACAGTGTGAGAAGAATTTAAAAATGTTTGTCAAAGTGTAAAGTCTGTATATTGATAATCAAGGCACTTCAGAAACAAAGATAGTTATAAAAAAAATATATATCCAGTATATAAATAAGCAAATCGGGGCATAAAATAAATTAAAGATTCGTACAGGTGTGGATCAGAGTGGGGTCAGCTAGACCCTGGAGCATTTGAGGTTAGAGGTCTTGCTCAAGGGCCCAACAGTGATATGTTGACTCTACCAACCAGGTTTCAACCCAGAACCTCCTGAATGCAGGCACTGATCCCTAACCCACTGTGCTACATGCGTTAACATGACGATATATACTGTAATAATTCAATAAATACGAATTCAGTTACTGGGGTTACGGTAATTTAATTACTGCGATTTCTTTTGGGAGCATTTTAGCTGCAATTTCTGCCCTTTTTCTGGTCGCTGTGGTAGAGGTTTATGTCCCTCACCAAGAGAAGGATGGGAGGAATGTGTGGACCGACATGAAGGTAAATAAAAGTCTAAGCGCTAACACACTCACCCGCTTTATTTCTTTTTATTTATTTGCGCTGCGTACTACCGTCAACCCCTCCTCCTCCACCACATCCCACGCGTCCAGCGCTTCTTGTAGTGCAAAGCCTTACACAACTCTGAAGGTCGAGCCTGGCGATTTGTCAGTCAGGGTTGGGGGAATATAAATAAGCCGTGGTGCATAAATTGCCGGAAAGTGTGTTTTATACTAGCTAAATCCATCCCATCGGGTTCCCATTTCCCCAATTAGGTCGACATCATTTCTCATCACAGGGACACCACTCCGTTTTCACTTCGCTTGCGAATCGAAGGGCTGCAGTGTGTTTGGTCGTTCTTATTTTTCAAAAGTACTGATTTAACATGTTCAAACTGCAGCATGGCCTTGTTTAAAACTTTTTTTTTAGCCAGCAGTTTCTCTCCAACTTACCTCAATATTATAAAGAAGCTTATGAAAAATAATTCTTAATTTTCCTGTAATAATTCATTCACACAAATGAATGTTTGAGTTTAAAATAAAAATCTGCATTGAAAATATATATATAAAGATATTACATCTTGATCATCACCTGTGCAGAAAACGGCTAGGTGTCTATACTATAACTATACTGTAAAAGCTGGATTCTTGGAAATTAGTGCCTTTTCTCACTGGACAGCTGTCTGCATGCATGGACAAAGTCCTGTTTTTATTCACAAATCTCTCTTTCATTAACCCCTATTATGCAATTAGCCTTTAAATCCATCACTTTCTGAAACATTTTGAAATAATGATTCAATGGATAAGAAGATACGAGAAGATACGAGAAGAGACAACACAAGACGAGGTGAGATATATGATAAGCCAAACCAAGACAAGACAAGGATAAGACAAGACAAGAAAAGATAAGATGAGACAAGATGAGATATGATATAAGCCAAGCCAAGACAAGACAAGGATATGACAAGACAAGGATATGACAAGATAAGACAAGGGTAGGACAAGACAAGACAAGACACAGCAGCAAAAGGACAGTACAGAGTATAAAAATAAAAAGGGAAAAGAATAAAAGCATGTACACAAACACAGTATTTAACAAATGACATCACTGCATCAGAAGCCAAGACAGTTAAGGAGCATTATAGTGTGAGAGAGTAAGTCATAAGCGGGCATGTTGCTGACCCGGGGGGGGGATCAGAATGCAAACACTGGCACCCGCTGATTGCGGCCCCCTTCTCATGTTATTTATAGTACATGTGGTTTCCCACGTTACAGCGGCTGCCGCTGTTACAAATTGGCCGGTATTAAATGCAAATCTCCGATCAGTGTCCCGCCGCGTTTGATAATCGCGGCATGTCTTCCTCAGAATGATTAGTTAGGGCACCCGTGCAGGCAGCATGCACACGCTGGACGCCGGCTTTTGATCGCCGCGCGCTAAATCATGCGAGGGACGTGATTTACGTGCACGGCCTATTATAAAGCCGGCGATACTTATCCACCCATGTAATGATGTGGATAATGATGGCCGGTAATCAATATTTGTGTTTATGGTTTTGCCTCAATAATATGGCCATGGCTGATGTAGCTGTGTTAATAGAGATGCACTGGTTTTACAAACAGCTCCGACATGCTTTTGTAACATTATAAAAATGTATATAATGGAATCAAATGGTGTCAAATACATCGCAATCCTAAAGCCTTATCTAGGCTCACTATACAATACTATATAGAGCTAAAATTTTTACAGTTATATCCAGGGGTGCTGCTAGAGATTCTGGGCCTGAAAAAGCATGTTATATTGGGCCCCCACCCAGACCAATCTAATTATGTTCCAAATTTTTTAAGGCCCTTGTCACGCAGGGGCCCTTGAAAGCATCCTACCCCTCCCCCACCTTTACGGTTATATCCAATTACTTCTGGCTAGTTCACACAACTAATTCTGCTATGGATATAGATTTCTTTATTATTTGAAGCCCGAGATTTTAACATCACTGTTATTTCAATTGCCATAGCTAGACATTTTTATCTACATAGACATATTTAAGCATCATCCTGCCAACTTCAACACACTTTCTTTGTTATTTCGCAATTCTCCAGGCTGCATGTATTCTTTGGTATAGTAAACGTCTTTGTTACTTCGCTAATTTGAAACTTCTGAGGCAATAGGATTGGTTCATTTTAAAATGTTAGGGTTCTGAATTCAACTCATTTGTTGTCTGTTAATTTGAGAATAATTCCTGTCCATCTGTGTGTTTCTACTTAGAAGATCTTCCTAAATTCTTTATTTTATTTATATATGTATATATAAAATTATTATTGCATTTTGTATTTTAAATGTGATTTTAATGTCTTTTATTTAAATGTGTTCTTCTGCCTTTGTAAAGCACTTTGAATTGTCTTGTGTCTGAGTCGTGCTACAGTTTATGAATTACATTTACAACATATAAACAAACTTGCCTAACGTGTCCTTCTCCTGAAAACATAAACATCAGGATATGCTTGGTGGAGTCGAAGGGAAGGATTCGGGTCTGTGGAGGGACTCACCACCATCAGCACGGACAGAGTCCTCATACGAGTCTTCACTGAGGTCCAGGACTGTGGGCTGCAAGCTGAGCTGGGTGCTGTTGGGGCAATCGACCCCTCCATGGTCCAGGCTGTGACTGGCGAACCCAGGTAGTGGAGTACTGGCCACACGGGAGCTGCTCATGGAGCTGGAGGGCCTGGAGCTGCCCCAATTCTGAGAGAAGTGGAGGACCATTAAGGGTAAAAGGGAGCTCTGACTGTAAGGGGGGGAAACCTACCGTTCCACCCTGACGTCAAGTAGCCCTTTAATAAGCAAGGCACTGACCCCCGAAATAAGACGCTGGCCAGATCAGGGACCCAAGGCTAATTTTTCACATGGAAAAATCACTAGAGAGGATGAATCTAAAGCTTTTCAAGGGTTACTGAGCAATGGAATTTCCCACCCTGCTATACGAACAATGTGCCTTCAAACCACAAACAGGAAAAAAATATACCATCAAATCGCTAGGCTGACCATGATATTCTCTGTGAAATTTTCATCCATGAATGCTTTACAATGATCACAATATGCACTTATTCTCAGTTAAAATAAAGATTAAATACAAATGAGATGCCTTCAGTACACCATGTTTGAAATCCCTCACAGCAGGCACAAAGCAGTTTAAAAAAATTCAGCTTTGACACAGAAATAAATCCACGAATAATTAATCACATTTGTTCCTACGATGTTTGAAATTTGAACTAAAACTATTTTTTTACTATTCTGTTTTGTTCTTGCATTATAATTTATAAGGCAGGAATTAAATAATTCCAGAACCAAAATTAAATAAAATTTAATTTAATTACAATTAAATTATTATTAAATAAAAACATTTAACGATTTTACCATATGTGTAACATCTTCCACATCTCCTAGAAAATTGTAATTTTACACTTGACTCACATAATAGCCAATTCTATCATCACACGGTGAGCAAAAGGACACAACCATGAGATGCCCCCACTCAGATTTATATACAGGGCTAAAGGATATAGGTAGATTTACAGCACAGAAGGACGCTGGCCCAAAACGTCCGCCGCATGGGCAAACTCAACACCGACTCGGAAATCGGAAAATTGCCAGGGAGCATTAAAGGGCATGATAATGACGTGAACCTTCAATATATCAAGCCTCAGCTTCACATTTTAAAATTTTTTTTTATAGCATCAACTTGTCAGGGGGTCAAAGGGAAGAACAGGCCCTATCCTCCATTCAGCCCTGCCTTTGGAAACCCTCTCATTTCATTTTAAATTACCCAGCAGCGGCGGTTAAGTGCTAGACCGGGGCTGACAGCTATGTAACAAAGTATGACAAGCAGGGAGGGGGGTCAGCGCAATCTTCAAGCTACAGGAGCCACGAGTTACAGGAGGCCGATGTTAGCTACTTTTAAACCGGCCGGCAGACCCGAGAGATCTCGGATCTCAGGGAATGGCAGCTGGCGTAAATATCAGTGTGACAGATTAACGTCAGGGGTCAGACCATCCGGGATTAAGGACAGACCTGTGGTATCCCATTGCTGTCACCAGCGATATTTAGGTATTCCAGCAAAGTACGTAAACTCATCACCCGAGGGCGCATTCAGAACCAGTGTCGGTCTAGCTTAAATTGCGCTATGAATGCTGGGAAATCTGCAGAATTTGCCTCCACAAGCGAATTATAATGTTTGCACAGCGATCTTATTTGTAGAGCATAATTACCTTAGAGCTGCACAGAATCAATGCGGTTGAGGTAAAGGTCACACACTTACTGAGCTTGATCAGACTGTGGATATTAGGTGCGAACAGGAGCACGTACCGAAAAATTCAGAGCTCTCCGTCTCTCTTTGAATTTGTTGATGGTACTCCGAACCTGCAGCGGTTGAGAGAAAATTGGCAGACAGAGAGAGAGAGAAAACAAATTACACGCCACTCCTGACAAGGGTCTTTCAGCTCGCCTTCCTCCATCTAACTTTACCTAAACTGTGAGGTCCAGAATAATGTTTACGAAACGGCAGACGAAAATATGCACTTGTAAAAATGAACGAGAGCCGCAGAACTGGAGAAGCAGAAGGCCGTGGTTTGTCAGACATAATGAGAGCTGATAGTGATACACAGTCGCAGCAAGCTAAGGAGACCACTTTAAAGCCTTCATCTGTCACACACTGCAGCCGCGTGCTCTGGAAATGAAGCCGTTCAATAACAGACTGGTCTAGCAGAACAGATTACAGCTGTTCCCAGGAAGGTAGCAGATGTTTGGCGAGGTAACAATCTGCCCGTTTTGTTAGCCGTCTATTTAAAATCTGTTCACACTGAAATTTAGCAAACAACTGGATTTTCACTGTGGTCCTACGGCTGCTGGCTCTGGAAAAATCAAGACAGACCTAATAAGACTGTTATTACTACATCACTAATTATCTACTAATTATTATAAGACCAGAGGGAGGTATACCTCTTCGTATTGCATTATTTGCATAATGAAATGTTTAAAGTAGAAAAATTTATCAGTTTTATCTAATTATAATAATAATTTTGACATATTATACCACCAACAAATGTTTTATTATCCATAAATATATAGTTAGCTATACCTCAAATTGTATATATTTTACCATTATATAAAAATATAGTAGATAAAATTGCCAGAATACACTCTGGAGACCCAGCCCTCAATCATGTGAGTGAGATCACATAGTAAAATTTTATAGAAGTTTAGTTCATCTAATAGATTAAAAAGTAACATAAGTACTAAATTATAAGTACTATAAGTACTAAATTACTCCCAAGAAAATCGGTAGCTTTGATTATGATACAGAGCGGCTGTGCTGTATACTGTAATGCTCCTTTAAAAAGAGTGAATGTCTCATACAAGAAAAATCACATGACTTTATAATATGTTGACTTTTTTTTGTAGTATGTTGACTTTTATTCACAGGCAGTGAATTTATTAAGTGAATCCTGCTAAAGTCTCTCATTATAGGGTGATCTTGCAGTAACCGCTATGTTTACACACTCATCCACGAGTCCAAAACGCTGCTAAGACTCTATGGTGAGGGTCTGTCTTATGGAATCTTGTCTGATTACATGATGATCGGTGACTCAGCCCAGGGAGACAGACTCCGCCCACCACATCAATAACGGTGCCCCCCCTTTACAGCTTCATTACTGTAGAGTAAACTCTGTCATAAATTCTGCCCCAGGAGAAATGCAGGGAAATGAGGGCATGGGTCCCACTGTGTGTGTTTGCAGTAAAGTGGACAAAACGTGCTGACATCATTGAACATCAGCATCTCTGATCATAAAAGAGGCTTCTGAATAACTGGCTTATGCTAAACGTGCATAATTTTGAAAGCATGCCCTTTTATACACGGCTAAAAAGTTGAGGACAGACTCAACAGCGTAAGAAACATTGTTTAAAGTTTCTTTTCGTTGTTGTTAGTCATTTGTCTCCTCTCGAAGTTTTATTTTATGGAACCATAGAGTTCAACTAAAAGCTGTTATAAACATCATTTCCATATGAAAGTTCAGATTATTTAAGCACCTGCTCGCATCTTTGAGTTCCTGAACAAAAGCTAAGGTCAACAAATCAAAGAAAAGACTAAATAAAGATGAGAAAGGCCAATTAAATTAATGTTCTACTCCATACAGCTCAACAAAGCTTAAGAAAAGCAAAAAAAAAAAATTATAATAATTCAGCTAAATAAGTCAGACAAGGAGTACAAGGAGTACAAAGAGCTTAAGCTATAACAAAATCATCAGATTACAATTGTCTAGAATTTGACTATTTATATTTTCCCCCCACTTCGCAGAACGTTTTATTGCAAAATTATTTTGGTTTTTTTCAGAAGGTAATCAATTGTGTTTTCATAAAAATGTTCCATATTTACAGCAAATACAGTAGCTGAGAATTTAAAAAGTCTGGCATTTGGCATTAACTGCCCTTCTGCATTTTACCATCTCATGCTAGCCTTTATTTTATTACTTCTTTCAGAAAACCAAAAGGTTTGTCAGGAAACGTGAACCACTTGCGTTGTTTTTGTTTAGCAGTAGTTTCCATTTAGAACCTTTTTTTGCCCACCCATCTTTTTCTAAATTGCATCTTAAACTACATAAACAGTTCAGGGGAGATGCCACGAAAAAGAGAACATAAGCGCAAAGAACGCTCCTTTTCATATCTACAAAACCACTCCGGAAAATACAAAGTGTGCATGTGTTGCTCCAAAATTGCAAAGACCCTTGGGTCGAGATGATAGAGCAACAAAATGGATTCCTTCGCACCAAAAAGGCACTTAAGTAGGGGGGGGTGATTTACTTTTACAGCACAGAGGGTTCGGCCTGAGTCCACCACTATCTCATGGTGCCATGAAAACTCAGGGATGCCTCACATACTTTGGGTGGAAAGAGAGAAGAATCTCCACCTGAGATGTTTCCAAGCCTCAACCCAGCCCTGAAGAGGTGCACAGGAGAAGTGAAGTCCACTCTTCCATGCAACTATAGCAGGAACTGCTGAGAATCCAACATTACAGGCTCTTTTAAAAGGCAGCAGTACTGACTGGAAGGGCATCATCTCTAAATATCTTGTAAAACATCCAATAAAATGGAAAACACTGGTAGGCGCATTCATAAAGCCGGCTGGCATTTAATAGTAAACGTCAAGAACACAAAATATGACTTAACTATGAATTATGTTTTACACCATCTATAAGGTGAATTAAAAAGGAAGGAATTCATGAATAAAATAATTCTTAATGCACTAATTATTGTACATTGATGTAAAATACACATATAAACAGAACTATGTTTATCACAAAATGTAACAAATTATTTTCAATGATTTAGCTGAATGTACAATAATAGAGTGACCTAGACTGCACAGAAAGGCATAAGGTCTTCATTGGATTTCAGTTAATGGGGTGGGAGTCTTCAGAAGTAACTGTTATTATTTACATTGATCTTAAGGATAAAATTGTAATTCTACTTTTCAATCAAATTAAACTAATCAAGCATATTTTCTGGACTTAAAGTATAAACCAAATCAAAATGAAAAACAGAAATCCATTATAAATAATAAAAACTTTCTTCTACCTTTGAACATACACTGACAGCACCAGTGGATTTTTGGCTATTTCAACATGTAAAAAAAAGCTTGAGTCTGAATGTATAAAGGCTTTACAATAAATAAATATATATATATGTTTTCTCTCTAGAATTTATGCATGCTACATGGATGGCAATGGCTCATAAGACCATGCTAGGTACGGCATATTGTCCTACACATTAAACAACAAACTTAATTAAATTAATATAGCACCAAAAAATGCAAGCAAGATTAATACTCATAAAAATAAACAGTATTTTCTCGAGAAAGGGTAATTTTGCCAGCGAAATAATGATTTTCCTATGACATACGCCGAGCTCTACACGGCTAGCTAGCCTCGTCTCAGCTGCCGGTGCCACGCAGACCTTCTGGGCCCGAGAAGCCAGGTGTCAGAGTGTTAAATGGAGGGCCATGAGTTTAAAAACTTAAAGAGGCAGTGAAATATTAGTCAATGTGGGTGAGGAATGACTATCCACACGCAGGGGGTGTCAGTGTTTAATGGCGGGCCTGGATGCATATTGGACAGACCAAGCATGAAGGGCAGCAGGGAGTTTGGCGCACACAAGCCGCCTCGCCTCATCCCTTTGACTCGCGCCATCGTGGAGCTGTCATTTTTTTATTTTATTTTTTTCCCCTCACTCACTCCATCGGCCTTGAGACAACGCGCAGACTCACCTCTGTGTTGTAGACCCCGTAGATAAGGAAGATGAAAAGGCCCTGCACAACAACAAAAGGAAGAGCGGTTAATGTGAGGTCTCATCATATTATAATGGACATTATTTGGGCAAAGACATTAAAATTGGACATAAATATACAAATATAAAATACATAAATGCATACGTATATAGACACACACACACAAACACACACTGAAATATATGTAATGCAGACATATTTTATTGGTGCTTTAGACATATTCGTACTATGAATTGTTTATTTAACAATACGAACAAAATGCATTCTCGCATTAAAAGATACGAGAAGTCCAAAGCGGCTAAACATTAGAGCAATTCAGTCTGTATTTGCATGCTACTTTTTATTTATTTTTTTTGATTTGCCACAAAGTAATAACATGAACGGCTTTTCACGCACACGAGTGCCGTCATAGGCAGGGCGAATTCCACACGGGAGGACAGGGCTACAAAACGACAAGATAACCCCAAGGTTCCCCGGGCTTTATTGGAGCCCATGCATTTCACTCTCGAGTGCTCAGCCTTTGTTCCCACGGAAACACGGGACGCAGAGCAAATGAAGGAGCAGGCTAAGTGTCGGCCTAAACAAGGATACTTACGATAAAATAGGAAACAAACTGAAAGGAAAGGCACATAAAGAGATTTCAGTTTGGTGCAAACTACAGCTAATGCTAAAAGAGCAAGAATCAGATGCCCTTGAGACTCGGGTACCTTCAGTGGCAAAAACGTAGTGATTTGCCATCATGTTTCTCATAGTTATTGTTAAACGAACAAGCTGTCCATTCACCGACTTAATAACACCGCATTTTGTGTAAGGCTGCTAGGTATAGACAAATGACAAGCTGCTCCTTTTCATTCAAATCTTGCAGATAAACGGCTCAAGAAAAGATAAAGCTGGGTTTGCGTAGCTTGTATAACTCCAGGATTCTCAATTCTTTTCTCCATCCAACTTTTAAAAACATTCAATTTATTTGTACGTGTGATAAGTTGCTTGAAAGAATAGCCAAGAGAATGGAACACGGAATACTTCACAGAAACATCCAGAAGCATACTTGGGCCCACACTGTCTACTGTACCTCTGTCACATATTTACTTCCTCCCTTTCCTTTGTCCCTTCGCTTGTTTCGTATGCTTCTTCACAGCCTTTATATGTTCTTCACTTCCTGTTACTACTACAGACATTCGCATATAATGCATCCGTTGTGTTAGGTGGTCAAAAAATCATAATTTTACAACAAATTCCAGTATAAAATAATGTTAATATAATTGTAACGATCTGGTTAATAGCCAGAAAACTTTCAAGTAACAATAATAATAAAAAAAAAAACTTTCAATGAACAGAATAGCATTATTATTCTATGCACATAGTATCTTTTGAACTATTCCACAAAACAATGTAAAACTATGCAAAAAACCAGCAAAGTCTTGCGTTGCATCGAATAAAATGCATAAAATTTTAAAAACTAATTAGGAGACAACCGAATGCTTAACAAGATAAACCCAGCAGACGTTTCTTTTGATCAACAAATTACCCTTGAAAACGAAAAAAATCAGGGAAAAAGAAAATGAAGACAAAACAGTCTCCTGGTTTCCATTCACCCTGCATCAACAGAGAGATGACAATTCTCCTACTGTTGGAATAAGAATCCTTAAATTTCTGCATTAACCTGTAAACAGAAAGGTAAGTAGAGCTTAGCTTTATTTATTTACTCAGGTAAATGCTGCTCTTAACGGTAAAAACATTTTGGCGGCCACCAACTTGAGCATGTCCCCTTTAGTCACATTGAGCACAGATTTCTTTTCAAATTTGAGGCTATACATCAGTAAATCATTTAGCACCAAGCAAGGACTGAGCGAGAACGCTCTGTATACTACAATGGGTAAGAGCGCTAGCTTCTCATTATTTCATGACAAGATACAGAAATTCACTTTCACTTTCATTTAAGGCCCTTTGCTCTGTTTATGGATGCCCCCTTTCATGCTTTCACTCACCTCTATCCTCCAGCCCCGTGTAATAAATTATTATAAATTTTCTCAGACGACCTCTCCTTTATTTTTTTGAACGCCCTAATGCAGAAAGTTAGGGAGTCTCAGGTAAAAATTTTCACAAACCCATTTTTTTTCTTTCTTATTTATGATGTTGTCCTTGGTAACGGAAATTTCAATGCACCAAAATGAAAACTATGATTAAGGGGATGGTGTGCCGGCAACGGAGAGAGACAACCGAGTTTGTATTTTCCCCAGGATATATATGATGCTTTCTGACACCACTTCTGTACCAAATGGACCTCACAGGGAGGATGATGGAGGGAAGTAGCAAGACGGTATAGAACCTTTCCATCAGGTTTGTTCCCTTATGTGATGTAAGTATATACCTGTATCATACAGTGTTCACTCACACCCAAATGAACAAATCATCACAGTGTCTGATTTTACAGAGAAATGTTTATCAAATTGTATCAAAATAGCAAGCAGAGGATTTCCATTCAGTTAAAAACCGATCACTATTTTCCAACTTAAACATCACAGGAACAATCCACTAGCAACTAACCTGCTTTTGCCCGCATCTACAATGGAATACTAAAAACTGTGGGTTCCACACTGCAAATCCATGACTAAATACCAAGCCCATAAGACTCACTGCCGACACCCCCCCCCCCCGTCAGAGGCAAAATGAAACTGGCTGGTAAGTCAGTGCCCCCTCAGGCGTTGGTGTCCTACGCAGCTGCCTATGTCACCTACAGTATAGGACTGATCAGTCCTGGGAAGAGTACATTCCCTGTTAGTTAGGTCAGAGGTCAGAGGAGATAGCAGTGAATCTTACTCAGGTTTCCCTTTGCAGCATTAAAAGTCCAACATTTCATGGTTTTGCAACCGACTTCTGGACTAAAAGGGTGTCAGCAGTCGACGGTCATGGGCCACCTGTATCTGGATGGTTTTCTGCTTTCCTCCGCAA